GGGTATGGGGAGGAGGGGTGGACTGGAGCCCAAACATGCCAGGAGCTGGCACAAAAGCAGCCACCTTACCTTTGAACTTCTTCAGCATGTCCCTCATGCCCAGGCAGTGCTCAGGAATGCTGTAGTTTTCCTTCAGGGTCACAGACACATTCTTGGGGGATTGGAACTTTACCCCCTCGCACCTGAAAGGAGAGCGATGCCCATGGGCTGTATCCAGAGCCCACAGCACGGCCAGTCTCATACTGGGTGGGGCTAATGCCTTTCTGTTGGCTGCACAGATGCATCTCCCTTGAGCTCTTTGGCTGTGAAGAGCACTAGGGATAACGGATTGCTTATCAGTAAGCCAATGGGATCAGAGCTAAACAATGCAGGGAGAGGCAGTGCCAGTCCCTGGGAAGGAAAGAGCAAGGCTGGCCAGGCAGTATGTCCCTCTTAAGGGAATGCATCTCACACACCACAAGGCCAGGCAAGACCTTGGTTCTGGAGCCCTGGAAGAAGACGATGGAGTCTCTTCTCCAGCTCCCGCTGGTCTCAGTCCCTCCTTTGTCAGCCCCACGAAGGACCAAACCAGATGCTGGGCAGGGAGGACAGGGGATGGCTGGCATGAAGCAGACACAGACATCTCACTTAGGGCCCAGAGGCAGCCAGGACGGTAGGAGGAACGAGCACGGGTACCCACCTTCTCAGGATGCTTTTCGTGTCCTAGAATGAGAAGAGAAAAACTATTCTGGGTGTGTGGCTCCAGAGCCTTGCACCCACCAGCCAGCCTGGCCCTGGCCACTCGCCCAGACAGCAAAGGCACTGAGGCTGAGTTAGTGGGGCTGGTGGTGTAGCCTGACCTTGAGCAGCCCGTCGGCTGGCTGCTGGGTCTTCTCCTTTATTTCCAGGATCAGCTCTTCCAGCAAGCACTTCTGCTCCACCAGCCTGGTCAGGTTTTCATTGATCATCAGCAGAATCCGCTTCTCTTCCTCCTCCAGCTTCTGGAGCAACAGCTTCTCCTCATCAGCCAGCAGCCGATGCAGCTTCCCGAACTCGCTCACAATCCTCTCTCGCTTTTTCTTCACCGTCTCCTTGTGATAAGAAGATACATGGAGTGAAGAGAGGCAATGTTAGCCAGGCAGCCAAGATGGAGCTGGATGCTCTAGCATCTACACCTGGCAGCAGGCTCTGGGAAACCACCGCAGTTTTTTGGTAAGCGCATTTATTTAAAAAAAAACAACCAGAGGCTAACTGCTGGGCTTTCACCTCGCCTGAGTTCCCACTCAACATCCTCAGTTTACCAGCAGTAGGACTCTGCCTGGGGCAATCTGCTCAGCTGGACCTCAGATGTCTAACGATGTCTCAGTGCAGCAAAGGGGAACTGGTGGGGGCTGCAAGGAGATGCCATCAGGTGTCAGGGTAGGTTTTTATTAGACGTGGTACAACTCGTACCTCCAGCTACATCCAGGCTACCCTGCTTGCTCAGGCAGCCCAGAGGAAATGCTGGAAAAACCTTTTTGGAAAGAGGTGGAAGAAGCCCCGGGGCTGGGGAGGGGTGGAAAGGGGGAGCCAGGGAGGATTCTCCGGGTGTCTCACTACAGCCCAGGGTGAGGAGCCAGCAAAAGGCAGGGTCTGCCAGTGCTTTAGGGTTTTTCACCTCAGCCCTAAAAATTGGCACTTTGCTTAAAACCTGAAGCACCGGGAAAACACGCTGCGATTACTAGGACCATGAAACCTCAAAATGCAGAGGATAAACAAAAGGAAACTGAACTGCATTTATTTTTCTGTCCAAGCACATGATTTCTTGGACCTGAATCACAAAGGCTTGATAAGCCAGGGTGGTCACAGACACTTCCTGCCCCTCACTGCTCACAAGGGACATTTTTTCCTTTTTACTAAAAAATATGCAACCAGCCGTCAGGCCGGGAGGAAGCCAGAGGCAGTTAAGCTGCAGCCCTGAAACCCTGACTCAGGCAGGCAGGGGCAGAGTGACATGCCTCTTTCACAACCTCCATTCTTGGCCCAATCCCAGCCCCAAGGGGCATGGCGGGCATGCAGGGGCACCCCAAAAACCTGCCACCCACTTGGATGGGCTGCGGGGGGCAAGCAGAGGAGCTGAGAAATAACTAGGGGAGTCTAGAGAAGCCTGTTTTCCCTGCCAAGGCTGATTAATCATCAGCTCTATCTCAGGGCTGGATAACTCGGTCCAACAGTTTCATTTCCTTTTCTGCAGTTACTTTTACTTTCCAGCTTCCACCCCAGAGGGTCATGAAACACAGGTGATTTGCTGGCGTCTGCTCTCCCTGGGACTGTCCGAGTCAGGCAGAGGTGCAGTAATTCAGTCTTTTTTGTAATGAAAACACTTCTAGTCCCTATCGATGTGGAGCAGAGCTCACACTTGGCTTGTATCTCAAGCACACGTTGTAAAACAAAAGGCAAATAAAAAATAGCCAGTGTTTCTTTGTTTAACAAGAACACAAGCCCCCACAATTTCAGGGAAGTGGGCATGCTGCTCTTTGCAAAGAATTTCTTTGCAAACCTTTTAAATTTTTTACAGAGTTGCACATGGTTACTAAGCCTGGTTTTCAGCATTGGTCCTACACATGACAGCTGGACATGGGGACATGTCCCATCCTGAAGACTATGCCAAATTCACGGCCCCAGACAAGATCATTCAGGGTTTCTTTTTTAATTGCTGATATCTCTGAAGCTCATTCTTTAAGAATTAAGCCAGGCACCTGCCTTGCACTCCTGGGTTTTCATCCTTTCCGCTGACTCACACTTCTTCACATCCTCCACTTCCTTTGAAAGATGCTCCAGGGATTTTTGGAGTTTGACCTGAGAAGAGAATAAACAGTCTCAGCCTGCCCCAGCAGCACCCACCAAGCACCACAGTTTGGCTGAGCCCTCTGCCCCAGGACTGTGGGTGCCAGACAGGGGGGACCATGACCCTGCGCCAGGCAGTGCCAGCCCTGGCACCCGAAACGCAGCAGCTGCGCTCTTCACTCTGCTCACAGAGTTAACCCTCTCCGCGCTCCTTGGGTTTTCCCTGTATTTCTCTCACTATTTAGGTTTTGGAGAGCAAAGTGACTGCCCCCCTGCAACACTGGGGTGCAGGGTGGCTGGTGGCATGCTCCCAGGAGCATCGCTGGGACACAGGGTTTGGGTGCCAGCACTCCACCAAGGCAAAATATCCCCAGGGCTGCACCCACTGCCCCAACTTCTGCAGAGAGGTCATGGAGGGGTAGGGAGCCAGGCTGCCTCCCTGCACCTGGACGGCCGCGGGGTGAGCCTGGGTGCCTCCACAATT